CAGGTCTATTTTATTCTACAGTGTCTGGTGAGTGTCTATTTCTTTGAGAAAGTGACATAAATGAAAACAGAAACCTAGTCAGGGAGGGGTCGAGGAAAAAGCACTGGATTTGGAATAAAAATGCCTGGTACAAGTTCTGAATTTTCAGATAACTGGGAGGACCAGCAGTATGACCTGGGCATATCCGTTAACTTCTCTGAATGAAATAATAGCTCTCAGGTTGTTTGAATGAAATAATAGCTCTCAGGTTGTTTGTGAGACTCAAATAGCAGGTGCGCTAAGTGGCTATGCGATCCCCTTAAACTCTGTACTCATCAACACTAGTGTATTTTAGTATAAATTACTGACAAAAAATGAGGACATCCCTAGAAGGCAGGAATGGTTCACAATTTTGAATTCTTCCTGCCATCTCTGAGAGCTCTGTGCTAGCTCTGTTGATTGTACCAGGCAAAAGAACTCCAGTCTTTTCCTACTCTGCATCTCAGGCCTGAGGAGTCTAGACCAGTGGATGATGATGATGTGAATGAAGAATACAATAGCAACTATGATTTAATTAGTATCCATTCTCTGCTAGCCAATTTTCTAGGCAATGAACATGCATTACTCCAGACATTTTTCACCAGAGAGAAGAGAGGAAAGGAGAGGGGAGGGGAGGAGAAGGCAGAGAGGAGGAGAGGAGAGAGGCTCTCCTGTGTGATATCTTTTGTTATTAACCCCATTTTTTTCTCAGCAGAGTTAGTAATTTATGTGATGTCTCACAGCTGTAAATGAGGCTGCCTTTGTCCCATGTCAGCGGTTCTCTAACAAACATCAGATCACCTGAATGAAGGGCTTATTAATGCCCAGATGGCTGGGCCGTCCTCCAGAGTTTCTGATCCAGTCAGTAGCTCAGAGGTGACAACTGAGAATTTCCAAGAGGTAGATCTGGTCTGAGAACCACACTTTGTGAAGCATTCTCTGTACCAGGCTGCTTCTGCTCCATAAAGACTCCAAGCTAGTTCCTTTTTGAGCTTTGCCTTTGTTCTGGTTCAAAATATCCAAGAATTCCAAGGTTCTTTTGGATTTTACAACTCTTTGAAAGATAGGAGGAGAATTTGAGAAAGTTTTCATTTTGATCTAGGTCCCTTCTAAAATCTGAAGACCCATTTGACCCCCTCCTAGGTGATCCCCATAGTCTTCCTATTCATTAACATCGATGTCAGGATATGGTCTCTCCTTTTTCTTCTCCTTTGGTCAACTTGGGTCCAGATCTGTCTTCTGATTTGTAACAGGAATATTCATAGCCCAATCTATTCATTGATCTATTGCTTCACTGATGAATGCAATTGTAGGGGAGAAGAAAATGCTAAGGCCCCAGTGAGAGAAGGCAGATTAATAAGAGGGCGAAGTGTAACTGATTTAATATACAGTTTTATGTGACACTGGAGGCCAAAGAAATGAAGACCTTCTTGCTCCCAGACAGGAAACCTGTGTATTTTCAAGTTAAATTTCATAAAGAGTGGACAGTTATGCAGAAGTGTGATTGGGCAAAGGGGGTGTGATCTAATGGAGTAACCTGTGGGAACTTAGCAAGGCCTGTTTCTTCAGATTCTTTTCTTTGTCTCTGTGTCTTCAGAGATGAGGACATTACTCTGGGCATGGAGTGGGGCTGAATAAGGTCTTATGAGGAAAAGCAGAGAATTCTTTTATAGGGGAAAAGTGTATAAAAAGACCAGAGAGACTTTTCCTGTTTCTGCTATTTTATCAAATGCTGACAGGCCATAGTTTGGGGTAGTGTGTCCTGAACCCCATCACAACAAATATCAGAGTCTTCTGTGTGCCAGGCAGCTAAGTAGAGCTGGAGTATAATGGTATACAAAGTCAGATATGGTTCCTACTATTAGGGAGCATTTATTCTAGTGAGGAAGACAGAGGTTAGTCAGAAAAGTCAGATAAATGTCAATGGTATTGTTATGGCAAATGTAACAGGGAGACTTAAATCTGTAGCTGGATGGTTAGGAAAGCTAGGATGAGCCTAAGTCTGAAGGAAGATGAGGAATTAATTAACTAGGTCCAGAAGCTGGACCACGTGGAATATTCCAGAATATTCCAGGCAGGAGATTGACATGTGCAGGGATTGTGAGAGGAAGGAGTATGACATAGTCCTACAACTTAAGTCTCTAAATAGGATATCCTTAGTGCAAGATAGATACATGTGATAGAAAAAATAAAAAAAAAAATACAATGGAAACATGATAAAAATTATATTAACTCATAACAATAGAACCAGGCAAATATTATAACCAGTCTAAAGAGAATGTAAATAACAAACACCTTTATAGATGAAGCATATGGAAATGAACAGCAAAGCAGATTTCTGGGAATGGGTTGGGGTGTGGGTTAATTGAACTTCCAGGGGATAGGACAAAATTTTTCTGTCTATAGACCAGACTTATACTGCATTTATGACAATTATCTATAATTTATAAAGTTGTCCTCATAGAATCAGAATCTGATAACCTGACAACTGGGAGGTGGTTTCTTTAATAGTCAGCAACACATAGTTTTGACTACAGTTTTTACCCTGCACATTCTTTCATCATAAATATATTTTCATGGTTTAGAGCTAGTTGGATTTGGTTTTAAGTGTTTTGTAACTTAAATGTTGGACACTGCAAACAAGTGTGAGATAGAATTATTGCTAGATCATTTATTTTCTACCTTGAGCATGACCCACCATATTACGTGAAATATATAGTTAGTTACTCCTTGGCAACTCCCTTTAAACACAAGTCTAAGTGATGACCTGTGACTGGTTTCTTCCTTCTTATGGCAAAAAGCAAGAAAAAAATCTTTGAGAGAAGGCAATCAGAAAGTGATAGTAGAACTTGGCTTCCTTTCAGGAGCCCCTTTGACTACAAAGGGTGGCACCTTTCCAGTGAATCTGAAAACTGAAAGTAGTTTTGCCAAATTGAGGTCTGGCGTAGCCTCCAGGGGGTTTGCAACAAAGAAAGAATTACTTCAAGTGTGTCAGGTAGACTCTTAACTAGGAGAAGGATAATCATTTGGTCAATTAGTAGGATGACTGGTGCTGATGAGTTTTAATTGATGATTTACTTTATTGAATTGTTAAGCCAGGGTTGACAGGTACTACAACACTACACCAAAGTCATGTGCTTAAAACTTCCTTACTGTTTAAAAGAAAGGATTGCTCCCCCCCTTTTTAAATGTAAACTGGAAATATTAAGTGAACAGTTGTCAATATCAATGCCATATTGTACAAAGAAGCAGAATTAGAATGGCACCTTTTTATTCAATTTGTAGCAGGTTAGAGTTCAAAATGTCAATTTCATAAATGCTTGATAAAAAATGTCACTGGTTTTGACTGAGTTGTGTTATTAAACTTCAGCTGGAGAGTCTTTTTATTTTTATTTTTTTGAACTCGTACAAATGTGTCTGACTTCTCAGTCTTTGGTTTTATTTCTGCTGGAAACTCTGACTGGTGAAATAATGCATTTCATTGGCTGGTTTGGCACAAAGACTTTAAATAAAGAGATGGCAAGATAAGTTAGTTACCTCCAGAAGATAGCACTGCTGATAATATATTTTTTTCCTGCTCCAAACGTAGTAAAAGATATTAAAACTGTCTCTTAAAAATAGCAATTTGTTTCCCTCTGCTCTAATCGTGGGTGAAAGTGCTCTGAAATCTATATCATTTTTTTTTTTTGAACTGTGGGTGATTTAGTTAAAAGAAAAAAAAAACTTCAATCCAGCAAAAGCAGGCTTACTGTTTGGTAAAATCAGGCCTCTAATAGTAAACAGCTCAGAAGGCCTTCCATAATATTTATGAGCAATTTCTCCGTTTTATATCCAGATATTTCTGTTACATTCTGCAGAGGAGGTAATCTGGGCTGAACAAAAAGGAAGAGCCTTTTTTAGATTGAATAGACTGGACAATTCAGTAGCTAAGTGTGTGATTACCAATCTTTCAAGCAAAGCTTTTATGTAAGGCAACTTTATAACTTCATCCATTCCAAAGAGAAATGCGTTAAAGACCACTGGGAAAATAAAAGGCAAAAGAGAAATGTAGAGAAATAGCCTATTCTTTACATCTCTATAGCCACTTGTTTCATAGCTATACTCACTGAGTTAACCCAATTTAAAGCCACAGTGAAACTTTTAGAAAGCCGTTTCACTGTTCCCTGTGGTAGTCAATCCATACAAATAATGAGAGGACATGACTACCATTATTTTTCTTTCCTCTATTGTTTTAAAATATACTCATCTCTCCCACTGTATGTTCCCAAGTTTTATTGCATAGGAGAAGGTAATAAGTGTCATCAGTAACAGCCATCTTATCATGCTGCAGGAACTGTCAGGTAACAGTGATTACTGCAAAAAATGAGCTTTCTAATTTCCTTGTGGCTCACAGAGTAATCTAAGTCCTATCTCTACAAAGAAACAAATGCATTTATATTTTCCCTTTAACTGATGAATCTATGCGTGCGATCCCTACTTGACAGTGGATCACAGTGTGTTTTTTAAAGCTTGGGTCTCCGACTGTCTGCCTCAGAATCACAGGAGGTACTTGGGAAAAGGGCAGATTTCTGGATTCTATACTGGAGCAATGAAATCTGAATCTTGGAGGTGGGGTGGGGGTAGGGGAGTCAGGAATGTGGAATTTTCTCAAATTCTCCAGGTGAATCATTAGCACATTTAAAGTTTGAACATTGCTTTATGGTAATGAAAAGTCTGGTGATTGAAATAAACTGTTGAATGTGATTGAGGAAGAAAGTATGCCTCGGTTCTAGCAGATATTGTGTATTCTTTACCTTACTGCTTCATTCTCCCATGTCAGAAACTCAAGGCGTGGTCATTTTAGCCAGGCATCAGAATTCCTGGGACCCTCTCTTCACAAAGGGGCATGTGCATGTAGACATCCCATTCTGTGCACAATTCAGAGGTTGATGACTCCCTTGAAACCCACTCATGGACACTGATGGATGTTCCTTATATCCTAGGAACCCTTCATCTAATAGGATTATCTAAGGGGACAGAGTAGAGGAAACGTCAAGTGAGAGAGGAAGAAGCATGGCCTATGTATCCAGACCACTCCTAAGACGGATTCTTCAGTGCCTTGAACAAAGGTCTGTATCTGAGGATGTGGGAAGGATTGAAGGGCAGCTTGTACACCGCTGGCCACTTGTGTCCCCCGTAGTGGGAATTTGCAGGGAGGGGAACCTCCTTTTTATAATTTGCCTTCACTGTATAGATCTCATCCAACACAAGCCTGACATATTCCACCTGTGTTCACCAATGAGGCCTAACTTCCTGAGTGTCCCCTTGCAGTGGATCAACAGCTCCATGAGGACCAAATAGACAGTGTTAGTCCTGTTCATTTCAAGTAGCATCACCTTAGCTCACATGGGAAGAGACACAATTATTTTTCAATTATTAACATAAACCACAATTAAGGATGGGACCAATGCCAGAGAGAAATTAAGTATTAGTCAGAAGAACCTGGTTTTTCTTCTCCTTTTACATTTCTGTAGCCACTTGTTTCATAGCTATGCTGATGGTAATAGGATTGGGAAATCACATTTGGGTCTAAAAACATAAGCAGCAATGCCGGGTCTTGATCTGATGTCAGGAGATTTCCCCCAGTCTGCTTGTAAATCATCCAGTGGTCACTGTGACTGCAGAGAAGGACTTGCCACTGGGCCTTCTAATGGACTGCTAGAGTTTAACTGTATGTTGCTTTATGGTGTCTGGCAGTATGACTTCCCTCCCTGACATGGTGTATAGAGCTTTTTAAAAATAAGGATCATCTGACTCTGTGTTCTTGTTTTCTAAAAAGCATTCATTTTTTTTGGTTACTATAGATCCTATTGCTGCAGTGAACCTGAACCTGGTGTTATTTGGTAAAAATGACCTCAAAAATCAAATGTCATTGAAGGTAAAGACATTTCTAAAGCAATTAATGATATGGAAAAGGGACAAGGAGAGAGCAAGTGGGGTCTGTGTCAGGTGATCTGGCCTTCCTGTCAGAGATGAAACCATATTTGTAATGTGGAGTAGGGAACTAGGATCGCCTTCATTAAAGGACGAGAGATGAAATGCCCATGGCTATATAGCGCTGTACATTTAGCCAGACAGTCTCCCTTTAATTTACAGTTTCTCAGAAAGTGCTCTGTTCTTCTTCTGGTTGCCTATTGTTTTATTTGGTTACCAATTAGGGAGGCTCCTTGTGTCTCCGGAAGCCCTCTAAAAGGTGTGCATGGACAATAAATCCTGCGCCTTGCACGACATACTGATGGCTCTGTTGATGAGAGGTTGCACAAAGTCAATAGTTGATGCTACTTCGTGGTGACATTTGCATTTAATAAAAAGTCATGTTTATTGTGGCTTCTGAATAAACATGACTGGCACCTAGTATGTATGTCGTAGCAGAAAATGCCTAGTTGGGAAGAGAATGTGCAGCTGGGAGGGAAAAGTAAATGATGATTATTATTTGTTTTAAAACACTTTGGGCTTCAGGTCACAGAGATTGATTAATTCTAACCCCTGGTTCACTGCGTACTGTCATCCATGGTACATTGTTTTATTTATTTATTTTGCAATACAATAAAGAGCCATAAACTAAACAGCTAAATGTTACTAATAATCCACAAATAACTGCCCTTTTTAAACCTCATCTCTCCCTCCTAGAAGGTAACTACTAACTTCATGCCCATCATTCCTTGTCCTTTTGTTTCTTGTTAATTTTAAGTTTTATAAGGTCTTACCAGTGACCATTTGGTTTGTTCCTTTTCTTTCTTTCTTTTTCTTTTTTTTGGAAACAAAGTCTTGCTCTGTTGTCCCAGCTAGACTGCCATGATCGTAGCTCATGCAACCCCAAACTCACTGGGCTGCCTCAGCTGTGATAATAGGTCTATGCCAACGTGCCTGGCCGATTTTTCTGTTTTTCTGTTTTCTATTCTGTCTCACTTAGCTGGTCTCAAACTCCTGATCTCAAGTGATCCTCCAGCCTCAGCCTCCCAGAGTACTAGGATTATAGGTCCCTTTTTCTTTTCTTCTGCTATGAATGGTGCTGCTAGGAAAGTTCTCACACACATTTTCTGGTACGTCTATGAGAACATAAAACATGACTCTGGGCAACCAGAACATAAATAGTGCTCAGAGCAGGATAACAAAGCCATTCTGTGACCCTACAAATGACTAAACATCTCTGTCTTCTATCACTGCTTTTCTCTGAGTGATTGTTGCTTCTGGACCAATTCCAGACTGTTTCAATCCTCCAAATCCTAGAAGAAGCTCCTGATAATTCCCCCTTGCTGATATGCTCCCAGAGTTCCTCTGGAGTGCGTTCTCCTTTGCTGTAGCAGGTTGAGTCACTTAATTTGACCACCACTATTCCTGGTGATAGATTTTGACACATGTGCCAAAGTTTCTCTTGGGTATTAACATATACCTAGGAATGAATTTGTGAATTTCCTGGATGATAGAGTATGTGAATTGTCAGGCTTATAATTGTTAAAAATCTTGCCAATTCCCATCCAAGTGTGTCCCATCCCATTTTATTTTCATCCATCATGAAAATAATGACCCATTTCTGCACACACTCATAATGCACTGCATAGAAAGTCTGTGTGTATATGGACGTATCTCCTTACAATGTATGGACAACTCAATCTTTTTCTTTAAAGGAATATATGTTTATTCTATCTGTTGTCACATGATATTTCAATAATCGAATGTGCTTAGCATAATTTTACATTTTAGCCTGTGGTGTATTCATCTTTTTAAAAACTCAGCTTATAAGTCATATCTGTGTCATTTTCTTAGAGTCATCCTTCCAATTTTTTTTTTTTTTTGAGACAGAGCCTCAAGCTGTGTCTGGGTAGAGTGCCATGGCATCATAACTGACAGCAACCTCCAACTCCTAGGCTCAAGCGATTCTCCTGCTTCTGCCTCCCAAGTAGCTGGGACTATAGGCACCCGCCACAATGCCCGGTTATTTTTTGGTTGCAGCCGTCATTGTTGTTTGGAGGGCTGGATGCAAACCTGCCAGCTCAGGGGTTTGTGGCTGGCGCCTTAGCCACTTGAGCCACAGGCACCGAGCCTATCCTTCCATTTCTGAATGACCCAAATCAGTAGTTCTAAAACATTAGTGGGCATATAAGAATCATCTCAAGAGTTGGCATTTTTAGGAGAAATTACATGGATTAGAAGTGGCAAGAGGGTCCTAGAATATGTTACAAATAGATTTATTAGACACCAGTATGAAAAGGAAAGCCCCAGAGAAAAAGGAAAGCCCTCTAGTCACACCTAGCGGATGGAGCACTGGCGTGATGTTAATTATAGAAAAGCCTTAATGAAGTACATATTAAACTTCACCAGGTCGTAGTGAGGATTAATAGGAAGGTGTGGTTTTTGGCGAGTAAGTGTAATGCTAGGGAAATTATATAAACTTTACCTCTTAAACAGTACTTGGAGAAGGGGTGTGGTATTTTCTCGGATCTATTAAAATTCATGCTTTCACTACTCATTGCTAGGGTTCAGGGCAAACCAAACAGATATGATTCCTGTCTCAGGTAGTTTAGATTCTTGGGCAGACAGACCATAAACAAACAATTTCAATATTATTTGGGGACAGTTTTAATGAAGGTTATGAAGAATTTCAGGGTATTATGAGAGTAAGTAACAGAGGCTTCCTCTAACTAGTCATCTCCCCAAGGTCATTGATATTCCTATGAAAAAGTGAGGTTTAAGCAAACTTACTGAATGGTAAGTATATGGGCCAGGGGAGAGGAGGTGAAGACCATCCTCAGGTGCAATGATTTGCGAGGAGTTCTCATAGGTCTCAGCGTGCAGTTGTATTCACAGCCATGGTTTATTTTAGCAGGATACAAAGTAAAATCAGAAAAGGGATGAGGCATATGGGGTGAAGTTCAGAGGGAACCAGATGACAGGTTCTGAGCGGCCTCTTCTAGTAGCAGCTCATAGGACATGCCCAATTCCTTCAGCAGTGAATTGTAACAACGCATGTGAAATGTGGCTTAACAGGGAACCTCGTTACAGTCTCAGCACCCAAGGTTTGTTATTGAGGGCTGGTCACATAGAGACCCTCTGCCTAGAATGTACCAAAATCCCAGACAGCCAGAAAGAAAGCAGATGTTTAGCATAAATCACATTATTTGAACAAATAGTTAAGACGTAATGAGGCACTCTTATCAATTCTGGGAATGATGGTAACCCTCCAGATACCCATGTTCCCAGATGCCAGCAAACGATCAATTTTGCAAGCAGGCCTTTCTAAAGATAGCAACCTTGAGCCTGCTGTGTTAACTCTTTTCTGCACAATATAATGACTGAGGGAAGTAGGTATGAAATGGCACGATGTCTTGGCCTTGCTTTAAAATAGTTCAATGAAGATAAAAAGAGATCAACGAAGCAAATGTAGGACCATCTTTCTCCTTGTTGGAGCTGGGTGAATGGGTTCTTGGAGGTTCTTTATACTTGTCTCTCATTTTGTTTGGAGATTTTAATAATAAAAAGAAAAGAAGAAAGAACAGTAGGTGTCGGCCAGAAGTGGGGTTAGATTTTGCCTCAGTTCAATTTAGTTCAGTTTAATTAAGAAGGATTAATTTAGTACCCATTTCAGTTTAATCCGATCAACCCAACAATTTTGTATTTAGCAGCTATTATTTGCCAGGGCCATAGCCAAGTCCTATGAAAGGGGCAAAGCTCACCAACACACTGAATCCTTGTAGGTTTGGGCTCATCTGTGAAGTGGATGTGCTCGTGCAACATCCCTCCCCACTCTGGAGTTGCCAAGAATTGCTGGAAAGTGAAAGAAACCAGCTGCTTTAAGTTTCTTTAGTGGCCATGAATGTTATAATAAATGCAGATCGCTACCTTGGGGAGGCATGTGATTCTCTCATTGGCTTAGAAGGATATTCATTTGAGGAAGCGCCTTCCTGAAGGGAGCGGGAACGATGACAGGGATATTGCCCGGGAGTGGTGCCTTCGGCAGTGGCTTGTTAGGGGAAGAGGGCCTGTCGGGTCCTCCTTTTGAGTGGGTGAGATGATGTGGGCTAGTTTTTATTTAAAAGGGAATAGATAAGCTATTGAATTAGAGCACATCAGAAGTGGCTTTATTTGAAAATGCTTTCAAAAGCTGTTTTGACAAGAACAGGGAGGAGGCAGTGGTATCATTAAATAAGCTGGCAACTTTTGTAACCAGCTTTTTGGTTTTCCACCTCAAGGGAGAGTCAATAAACTTTGATTCCCAGCATTAATGTAATTATTTTGATTTTTCTGGCTCATTCCAGGGAAGGCTGCAGAGCTTCAATATCAGATGGCCGAAAGCAATTCAGAAATCCCGTGTCCCCAAGGACACCCACTGCTGTTCAGAAGTAGCAGGAGAGGGGGTGGAATAAATCATTTCCTCTGATCTTGTTAGTGTTGAGGATATTACAGGCAAGCAAATGCTGCTGCAGGCAGGGGAAAAAAATAACAAAATTTCCCTGCTTTTCAAAGGTTTCCTTTAAACATGATTTCCTCTTTATATATTTTTAAAATTGTTGTAAGAGAGGGTTTCCCCCTCCCTGCTAATTTTGAAGGTTCTGCCTTCTATATTATCATGTTTGCCATGGGGCGGGGGTGTTCCTGATCCTGCCCCCAGCAGATGTAATACACTTAATGTCAATTGTTACTTCAATAATGTGTTTGGTTCATTTAGTGTTAACAGTCCCATCGTTCTGGGAGGTCTCCCTGGGCCCAGGAAGAAATGGCTTTCGTGAATATCCAGGCGTGCTTGGGGATCTGCCATGTAAGAGCTGTGTGAGTCTTTATTTCTTTCTAGAAAATGTACAACATTTAATTTTTGAAATGTCAACTGATTTGGGTTTTTTAAGATGAAGGGCAGTCATGAAAGAAATACAGCAATTGAAATTTCCTAACAGTGGGAACAGAGTCAAAGACTATATTTGTTTGGAGAAGTTAAACTTTGATTTGAGGTGATATATATGTATTTATATATTTGCAAAATGTATTTTTTTTCCCTTGGTCTCCTGAACAAACAGTAAAAGGTGACATATATGCATTTACATAGTTTTTATTTTTAACTTCAAGTCTTGCTAATAAGAATTTAAGGCTATGTTCTTTTTATTCTAAATTATAAATATATCTTGAGGCCTAGGCCATGGACAATGGCTATAAATCATCATTTTCATAATGACAACTGCAACCAGGCCATGACTTTCAGAGTGCTGTGGACATTGTCTCCTGGAAACAAACTTTAACATGTAAGTTTTAGGGTTCTGATATTAGAAGGCCAGCATTCCTTACTCAAGTCATTACCTGAGAAGGGATTTTCCATTTTATGTTTTTCTCCAGTGACCTTCTCATATTTAGGCTCCATCTATATCAAAATGATCTGTCATATCAGCCAAAGACAAAAGCAAATAAACCAAGCCATTAGACATTTGCAAGTTTGGGGGCAAGGGAAGCTGGTAATTTCAACTTTTTCCAATTGGGTGTTCATGATCATCAGTCATTTGATTAGTCTCTACACACTATTTTCTACCCTCTAAAAATTATGTTTCTTCCATTTTAAGAAGCATGGATTTTCCATATTTTAATGCTTTTGAAATAATATCTTACAATTGATATCCTCATTTTGTGTCATATTTCTTCATGTTGTCAGAAAAGGTGTCATTAAGCCAATGGTTTTTCAGTTTGCAGCATCTTAGATTTCAGAAAATATGTTGTCTCTCAAATTCCTCTCTGCTACCATCCCCTGAATTTGAATCATAGCTGTCCTTTGATTAGATATTTGGAACAGCTAGCTAACTGGTCTACCTCAGCCGTCTTACCTTCTTCCAATCTGTTTCTTACATGGATGCCATACTCATAAAGCACAACTATGAGTGTGTCATTTCTTTGTTTAAAGTCCTTTAATGGGCTTTCATTGCTTTTAAGAGAAAGACCTGAGTCATAACAGGACTTTGTGTTACCAGACTTTGGCTTTCTTTTATTTTTTATTTTTGAGACAGAGTCTCACTTTGTCACCCACAGTAGAGTACCTTGGCATCATAGCTCACAGTAATCTCACACTCTTGGGCTCAGCCTCCCAACTAGCTGGGACTACAGGCACTTGCTATTTTTAGAGATGGGGGGTCTCACTCTTGCTCAGCCTGGTCTCCTAAGCTCAGGCAATCCACCTGCCTTGGCCTCCCAGAGTGCTAGGATTACAGTCTGGCCTCCTTGCTTTCTTTATTGATTTCATCTTTCAAACTCTTCTGCTTCCTGTCAGAGCATCCCCAGAATGGCTCATTCAGGAGCCATACATTTACCATAGTCATGTCCTACTTGTACCAATGCTTACTAAAAAAAAAAAAAAGAAAATTTAAACTTGCTTTTGCTTAAACTCAAATTTATTTTAAAAGGAAACTTTGCTTTACTACCCTAAATAGAAACTAGTATTCTAATATGTATTTCAAAACACTTGAATCTATTCAGATTAAAAAGGAAGACTTTTTATCAACAAAAATCAGCTCTATGCCTTCAGCAGTTCACTCACCATCTTTTGGCAACCAGTGCTTTGGATAAATCTTTCTGCTTTCCATTAGACAAGGATTCTTTTTTTTTTTTTTTTTTGTAGATTTTTTTTTTGGCTGGGGCTGTGTTGGAACCCACCACTTCCAGCATATGGGGCCAGCGCCCTACTCCTTGAACCGCAGGCACCGCCCCTAGACGTGGGTTCTTCTGGCATAGAGAGCTTGGCCTCTTTTCCAATCTCCCTGAGCTCCTTCATTTAACTCTTACCTATTCTTTAAGTTTCAGTTTAAATAATTCCTGCTCCAAATTAGCATCCCGTCAACTATTAAATTCCATGAAACCAACTGTCTTCTTTTTTTAATTAAAAAATATTTTCTCATGCCTCATTTATTATCATAAAATGAAGTTCATAGATATTACCTACATACCTACATGCTTTTTTTTTTTTTAAATAGTGTACTGGTTTAACTGTAATATAAAGAGAAAGAAAAGGAAAGTGATGTATAGTAAACTAAGTATTCCAAAGTAAATGCTCTGGTAACAACTGCTCTTAAGGACAAGGAATTAGATGCTATGTCTACTTGATAAGAGTAAAACTGAATTTGAGAAAAGGATATCAGAAGCCATTCCATGGAAAGAGAACAAGGAATGGCAGAAGGGTCATATGAAGGCACTGAGCTAGTCTTAGGATAAATAGTAACATGTATGATGAGAGAAAAAGGGAAATAATCTTAGTTGAAGTAGGGCTGGCCTGCCAAGATAAACAATACCGTTCTGAGGTAGAGAGCCTAAGCATGTAACCATTCCTGGAAATACATTCAATTTATTTATAAGAACAACTGCAAAAATAATTCCTTCAGTTATGATAAGGGACTAAGTGGTGTTGATTTAGAATTGCAAGAAGAATGCCTGTAATCTGAAACCTTCCCTCAGGTCATTGCATACATTTGGTCTCTAGTTCTTAAAATGCCCTTCAGCAGACAACGGGGGTGGGGGGGGTGG